GCACTCAGGCTCAACAAGGTCTGTTAATTATCTTAAACGGGATCAGAGTTGTCCTGAATGTGAAGGCAAGGTCTGACAGCATCTTTGGGCATTATTTTACCATTGAAAATAGCCTCTCATAATATGTAATATGACATGCTGTGTTCTACCTGCCCAGGTTACCCAGTTGAGTGAGGAGATTAAGTTCCCAGTCATCAAACTCACAGGGTACACTTGTGTCCATGGACTATCTCTGGGCCATTCTATAAAACAAACCCCAAGGAAATTATATTTCCCTCTTAGATTCTAAGTTAGAGAATGGCATCCATCTCTTCCCCCGGTGAGACGGAACCCTGACTTAGCTCAGACTTGGCCTCCAGTGCCCACCACTATCAAAGGGCGTGCCTGGTACATGGGAGGTGGCATTTGCTGCTGAGAGAAAATGACTAAAGATGCTTACACTCGCTGATCTCTGGTGTGAAATTTTTTAAACATTCCCTCTACACCACAGGGTTCTGGTGTATGGTTCAGCCTGTTGCATGATGCCATTCATCTCACTAAACAAGACATGCTCATTATGACATTGAAGAGTTCTCTTTATTAGCCTCGTCTCTTAATGTTTCCCATGAGGTGGTGATAGAAGACACACGGTGGCTGACCTCTGAACTTGAATTGGCTGGTGGGAGGTTTCTTAAGGTCTTGGATCAAACCCGTGACCTTCCCCACGCTGCATGCCTTACAGGGACAAGGGCAGCAGAGAAATCGTCAGCCTTGCTGCCTGGGGAGGAGGTTTGCCATGGCTTTATTGCCTGTTCTCCTTCTCTAATAAGGGCACATCTTCCCCAGCTGATTGTCAACCATTGTCTCAACAGGAGTTATCGTTATTCTTACGGTTTCGCTCTTTATGTCACTGATGTTACCACCACCACTTAACATACTGTCACCAAATGGCTGTCCTGCACCCCAGATCTACACAGGCAACTAAGCTCTATCATAGCTCTCTGGGTTGTCCCTAGGGACACAGCCTTAAGGGTCCTCCTTTCTCTGGACAACACCCTAAAACACTGCCCTCTCTCGTCAGTAAGTAACCAGAACAGTCATTGTTCCCATCCCTGACCACAGTTAGTGTTGATCTCTGAGAGGGGGAATGAAGGATGGTCAAGGGAAGGTGGGCTGATCTAGAAAGACGTGCCCCTGGAAGAGGGGCTTCTCCTTGCTTTTGGGATTGTTTCCTCACACACATACACTCCCAGGACATTGTATCCTTTACAGGTTGCAAGCAGTACAAGTTGCTATTGGCCACCAGGTGAGACCAATGAGGGACAAAGGGAGGCCAGAAAGAAGAAGTCCCAGGGAACCTATATAAAGGCTAATCCAGGGCCCTGGGGTGTTCTATACCTCTGGGACCCCTCCCATTCCCTTCATGGGAGCTGTTTGTCTATCCTAACGACTTTTGTCATTTTTATCACAACACACACACACACACACACACACACATACACACACACATGTGCACACACATGCACATGCACACAGGCATGCATGCACACATCTGCCTATGGCTGGCACTTTCTCTATTCTCGGCATCTGCAGGTCACTTGATCTCGGTCACTTTCACTTGTGGATGGCAGCCACTTTCACAGTCAACACCTGTGGCCTCTTCTCCTCTTTGCCTGTCATTCCAGTTTCCTCCCGGCTTTTCCCTTCCCTGCATGAGTCTTATTTCCAGGACACACGATCCTTTGTCTATCCTGTGGAATGAACTCAGTGGTACCCCTAGATAATCATCCTCATCCAAGACCCCCAGAGTAGTGGTTTAATGGGATGGATGGAGGTCTTGAGACCCATTGAGAAGTAGTTTTTCAAAAGCTCTGGCTAGGGTAAGGAGTGCTTCAGGTTTTACTAAAATGGAAACAAAGATTTAGGAGCCATTTAGAGAACACACAGGGGGAATCTAGAAAGAGGCCACATGACCCAGCAAAACTACCTTGAGGATGGGATGTGGGGTGGGGCAATGATAAATGTTTACAGTCTCCGTAACGTGGGTGATTAAGTTTTAAAAGGCAACTTTAACACCATTTAAATTAAGTTTCTATTAAAAGTCACAGAAATAGTCATTTAAGATATCAGCAAAGAGTATTAACAACAACAACAATAAAGGCAGAATAGGATTGAAGTTCTGTTAGAAAAAAAAATCCCCAATGGTTCAGAAGAAGAGGAAGCAAAGACTGCTTAAGAAGTCAATATGGAATAACTGATGGTACAGACACAGGGGGTGGAGAATAAGTTGATGAACGTTCATGATGGAGGAGTGTGTGGTTATTTGTGATGACAGGAAACAAGTCATCATGGTTCGACTCGTGGAACTTAGATCCAGATGTTGTAGTTGCTGCTCTACTGTGTCCTACTCAGGACAGAGATTGACCTGTAGCTGATCAACAGTCACAAAGGACCTAGGACCTGAGGACAGAACACACCGTGTGCTGTGAACACAGTACCCAGGAGGATAGGGAGACCTTTCCCTGCCTCTGGGTGCAGGTCTCTATGAACATCTACACTTATGATCAGAACTGCTGGACACGAGACTTGGAAAACACTTGAGCCTTTCACAAGCTGTAAAAGAAAGAAACAGGCTGTCCACTGACATGATTTCTAAAGCTTTGTCATCTGAGAAGCTTCTCAGAACGTGGGGAAGCTTGACTCTTGGGAAGATTCCCCACTCCATCTCGGTTCCCATTCTTGGCTTTTAGGATATCTCCATTCCTAACTAATGTCTCCTCATAGAGAAGTCTACCCTTGATTAAGGACCTCCTCAGCTTATCTAATGACACCTAAGTCAGAAACTTGGCTACAGGTTTGGGGCCTCGTGTAGGGCGATGAGCAAGGGACTCATCGTGGGTCAGTTTCTTTCTATACTTCCCCGGTTTCTTGCTCCCTGCTAACCAACCCAGCATTCAGGACTATTGCTGCATTTTTGTGTCTTGTTTACCTAGCCAAACTCCAACATGTTCTGCCTAGCTGGCCGCTTCTGTGTGCTCCACCAGGATGGTAGAGAAGTCAAGACAGTGTGTGCAGGGACACCTACCTCGGATACCACTGCTCACTCCATGCCGAGAGCACCATGTTCCCTCTTCTCTTTGAAGGGAACTACTGACAGAGAGTCTTTGCTGGATCATATAGAGTCATGCTCCTGTCTTAGGCCCGTCGGGGCATTTCCTCATCAATTTAGACTTCACCTGGATCTGTTCCTCAGCCTCTAGCCTTCCTTGGGTGCTGTCTGATAACTCGGGACAACCTTCAGTAAAGATGGTGTTTGTCAATTAAACCCTTCCATCCACCCCTAATAGCTTCTCTTATTTACTTTTTATCCAGTACCCCAACCTGCCCCTTGGTCATCCATTTGCTCTTGGCTGTGCTACGTCAGTGATGAACCCTCTCTCTCTCCTTCCTCAAAGTGGACACCCATGCCTATGGTAACAACCAGACAGCAATAATCTTCCTTAGGACATTAATGAGAATCACAGGATTTCCTTGTTTGTTTGTTTTAACACTACTAATCTTTCCTGCCTACCCTTCCCCACCACGTGGACTTCCCCACCATTTCCTAGACTCTCCAGCAGCCCCTCAGCACCCAATGTTCAACCCAAATGTCTTCTCTCTGTGGCTCTGGTCCCTCCTGAATGCCAAGATGCAGTGAGGTTCATCGTCGCTACATCTCAGCCTTACTTCTCTGCTTCCTGAATGAAAAAATGATCCCAACTGCACTAGGTTTTTTTCTGGGGAGCCACCAACCAGCTCCCAGATCATGACATGCAGACTTATTAGTTTTGAATGCTTGGCCTAGCTTAGGCTTGTTTCCGGCTAGCTCTTTTAACTTAAATTAATGTTTCTCTTTATCTACCTTTTGCCTCAGGGCTCCTTACCTTTCTTACCTCAGTTTATCTCACTTTCGCTGCTTCTGTGTCTGGCTGGCTGGAGGCTGCCTGGCTGGCTCTAGACATCTCCCTTTCTTTCTCCCTCATTCTCTCCTCCTTCTCCTCTCTTCTCTTGAGCCTAGATTCTTCCTCCTAATTATTCTCTGCCTGCCAGCCCTGTCTATCCCTCTTTTGCCTAGTTATTGGCCATTCGGCTCTTTATTAGACCAATCAGGTGCCTTAGGCAGGCAAGGTGAAACAAATGCAACACATCTTTACATAATTAAACACACATCCCTACATTGATAAACAAATGCAGCATAAACAAGCAACACACATTTACACAGTTTAAGTAGTATTCCGCAGCATAAACAAATGTAACACATCTTTGCCCAGTTAAAATAATATTCCACAACATCCAACATTTATCTTCATGGGCTGATCCTCTCCTGACCCTGAAACTGTCAATATATCTGCCCCTCAAGGATACTGATCTCAGTCTCGTCCAGGCTGAGGGCTCCATGATTTCCCTCCCTGGACCTGTGCTCACCTTATACGACCTTCACCCATTCAGCCCTTTTCTATGTGGAGTGGGTCCTTCTCACTGGCTGTTCTCTTCTGCATTTGTATGACTTCCTCTTCCCAATTTCTCCCATCAAAGGCCTGACCCTGCTTATTTTCTAAGGTCAGACAAACTTCCGGGAGGTACGGCTATAGACTCGTCCCCCACTTCTTTTTTTTGTTTTGTTTTGTTTGTTTGTTTGTTTTGTTTTGTTTTGTTTTGTTTTGTTTGAGACAGGGTTTCTCTGTGCAGCTTTGTGCCTTTCCTGGGACTCACTTGGTAGCCCAGGCTGGCCT